TAATTCCAACGTTTCGTCCAGCCAACTTGTCTGGACTTCCTCAGGGTAATAATATATTCGCTGTTAATTAATTATGAATGTTATTATCCGAATTACACTCAGTATCGGGTAACGCAAACACACACTCATAGATATATTAACCGATAAGAACATCCAGTTGTTATAAACGGTGTATTAATTATTATTAATAATAACAAAAACCGCTGTTATCTTAATTGTTCCGCCAAATGACAATTTAAAATGTTACCATTATTGGGAAAAAACAAATGTTGAGACTATAATTTATGGACGACCTTTGTGCAACGCTAGAGTGACCTCGAGAATGTCCACCTTAAAGCTAGGACCAAATGAAGGTTATAAACCAGTGTGAGGAATGGGAATTATGATTTACAGTTGATGGTTAAGGTTAGGAATTAAATTTAGGGTTTTCATCACGAATTGACATCAACTATAGTGACCAAATGCTATTTAGCCAAATAGATGAGTGAATTTCGAGCCAAGATCCAAAAACTGTTATCTTATACCTAATCCGCTCGTACACAAATTATAGTCTCGCCAAACAAATTAATAATCTTAAATCTCTAAGATGTTTCAAAAAATATTAATGAGAGGAAAGTTCTTTAAAATAATGTGTGCTTTATGAAATGATTAAAAGCATTTTTTATTGAAAGAGGAAAAGTATTATCATTAATTTTATTAAAAGTTTTTATTAATAGTTTTTACTTGGGTAAAGTGATGAAAATGATTGACTAGGATACAATACTAATAATAATACAATTTGTCATTATTTGTAATATAAGTATAGAGGTTATGGTGTGTGTATTTTTAGTACACAATGTACTGTATACACTAGAATATATCAATTTACATACATTGTATAGTAAGGGATTTAGAACTGTAATAAAAAAGATATGTACATGCTAATATATAAGTGCACACAAATAAACACACAAAAATTACTGTACGTTATTTTGAAGGAGGATAGACAAGAGGATGGAAATGTTGAAATTGATTTTTGTTTCACCGTAAAAGAATACTATTACTTCTTTTAATACGAATAGCACCAATACGAAAGACTGTTAGTGATAGACAGTTATATAGGCATTAGTAATAAAATTATGCTTTGTGCATTTTTGCATTAAATATATATGTATATATATTAAAGGCGCCCAGTAAAATTTTTAAAAAAAACATAAACATTTGTACAATCATTTTCGTTCGTTCTTTTTTCCTATAATCAAAAATATTGATAACCAATAAATATGTATGTAACAGATCAATATGTTAACCAGCGCGAATATTGCAATCTTTCTTTGTAAAAACAAATAAATAATGAAGTTTGGTACTACGTTTTTAATGAAATGATAAACTATTAACTATATCTTTTTGATTATTGTTTTTTCTCCTAATTTATAAGGAAATCTATTTCATTAGAAAAGAAAGAAGTTTAATTCTCAACAAGTATTTAAGATCGGTTTGTCAATCAGTCATGTTTCGTCAATGACATAAATAGGTTCACAGAATAACGTCTTTTAAATTCTTAAAACTTATTGACCAGATATTGTGAAAGCAAAACGTCGACCTAATCACTTCAATGATGACATTCTGCATAGATTGACCTTTGAAAAATAGGGAGTACTGATGAGCAGTTTCTTTCTAGCGAGTAGGACCACTGAACGTCAACACGTTGGCTTAACAGTTGTGTACTGGTTGAGAGAATTGAAGGCCTCGGGTTTGGTTCCTTTTATGGTTTTTTGTAAGTAATTTCGTGAAGTTCAATATTAGGAAGAAGCAGCTAGCTAGTGATTCTTGGTTCTCAACAGTATCACAAATAAGCCGACGCGAAATGTTGAATATAGATGTCGGACTTCATTACTGAACTTAAAAGGATATATGTTTTTAAGTAAGCTTAGCGTAATCTTTGAACTAATGAATCTGATCTCAACAAGAAAAACCTAGAATTACTAACTAAATGTTACTACATGGCTAACTGTACAAGTACTCAATTCATACTAATCACTTGTAAAACAGTCTTCTAGATTTTCTAGGAGATCATGTCATCTGAATTTCACGGCATATACTGGTTTCTTCAAGATTTCAAAGCATCTCGATGATGAGCGTCACCTAGCATGAAATATACTCTTAAAAAATGTTTCATATTCATCACTATAACCGTCTTTGTAGCCTGTAACTGTCTGTACATTTGAATTAGTTTGTCAGACATTTTAAAATCTTCCTAGTATAGTTCAATGGCATTTATTTAATTGAACATGAATTGTTTCTATTCTTAAATCGTTTATATTTTAGTATATATTTTTTTATAAGCTATAGCGATCTTGCTCAACCAAAAATGTAACACAGTAACCAATAGTTATTTTATGTGCTTGGCTCACATACAAACATTATGTAGGAAAAATGTATACCAATAAGGTTTTGAACTAGTCTTATAGAAAAAATTTCATACTTGTGACCCGGATATTAAAAGGTAGAATCTTACACGAATGCACCAAAACTCCACATCATTAAGTAATAACTACTTGCCTTATTTATTCACTCTCTGACAAATTATGAAACTTCATTATTTCCATGCATAAATAAAGGATTATTTTATGAAAGGATGTGTCATACAGATACACAATAATTATTTCAGTTCACATTTTTGATAATGGACCATAATTGTCATGTGAATTCAATAAGATAAAATAATTGATGTTGTAGCAAAAAATGGTCTAATTGAAAAACATGAAGTTCAAAATTTATCTGTGTATACATGTTGTCTTGGTAACCGCTTCCATGAGTCTAAATTTATATATATATATATCGACTTTACGAATTACTAGAGATAGTGAGTGTGAGAACATTTATACAAGTTTATTTTTATATAAAATGAAATAAACGTACTCAATAAAAATACTTTGCCATTATAAAATCTGAATGAGATGTTTGAAAAGATTTCTTGTCACATCCTGTTCACTATATATATAAAGGTCAGAATTTTTGCTGAAAAGGTGACTAACAATAAATAATGTTATTTGAGTTTGATGTTTTTAAACGGTTGATAATAATCAGCGGTATGAAATGAATAGGATAGACAAGTAAATAGGCAGATGTTATGACATTTATACAGAGATGATAAAAATATTAATTTTTCAAACTAATATCATTTCATGCAAATAATATTTTTCTTAATATTCAGACGTAATAACAATGAATGTGAATTAAGTTATAACCAGATGTGTGTATATACGGCTAGGGTATATGTCGTGGGGAATATATATATATATATATATATATATATATATATATATATATCACAAAAGATTGGTAATTAATTAATTATGTTTCATATTTTGTTCTGCACGCCATATATTTATACAAATCTGTTACATGAACCAGATATTTTCACCTTTATTTTTGGTAATCAATAAAAGAAAATTTCGAGTCATGAACATAAAGATCATCAAAGCATTTAAAAAATTTTTAAAAATATCAAAACGAATAAATTAACTAGTTTTAAAGAGTACTTTGCTTATTTAGCAAATATAAGTTTATGTACTCCAATCTTAGTCATATCAAATGTAAGTTAGAAATACAAATTTTCTGTTAAAACTAAAGTGAATTGTTCTCTAAAGAAGTAACCACATAACTTATGACTATTTATCAAAATTCAATCAATTTAATAAAATCTTATGTATGTAATGAAACTTAAAGTTCTTACAGTCAGTTAAGTAAATACCTTTTTTGATAACTATAAACTAGGATTAAAAACAGTTAATTGATTGAATTAAAACTTCCCAAGTTACAATACTTTAGATTAAATTAGTATAAAGAGATTTTATTTACTGATAAACCTTCTTCTTGCTGATATGATTAAAGTAAATGTTTAATCTTAGTGAAGTTGGACTAATGACGAGAATTCAGCTCAAATAGGAAACTATAATCATTAGAGGCCTTTAAATACAAATATATTATCCCATTGCATCATACAAAGATATTTTGACAAATCAAGAAACTGATATTTCTTTATTACCATTAATAAATTTCAAGTAATAAATCATGTCAGTCTATTCATAGAGTGAATTTCATAAAGAGGGAATGGAATGCAACGACTTCTGTAAACACTAAAACAACATTTATATTTAATAATTGTAATGGGATAGACATACTTAAATAATAATGTTTGTTGTTGTTTCGTAATTTTCTGAACTTTACAAAAGAATACCAAAAAAAACAGAAATTTGTCAAAGTTTTAACATCAGGTGAGCTTTTCCAATGATTGTCTGTTATCATGGTTGCGGAATGTGACTTTTACTCACACCACTCGTGCGTGCGTATACGTTTCCGTTATGTTAAATCTTATCAGAGAGATTTTTGTCATTTTTTACAAGGTTAAATTTCGGCATTTTTCAAAAAAATTGTATACAAATATGCTTCAGTAAAATTCTGACTTAAGTACATTGCATAATCTATACGGATTAATTGTATGTTTGGCTTAGGTTTTAGATTTTTTAAATCTTTATTATCAGTATATTTACATTAACACATTAGAAACTCTGTTAACAATAGATAAATATCAGACTACTTATGAAATATTTGTTTTTTTTTACGGTAACTGATGATAACTACAGAAGTTATCCGAGTGAACTAGATAATAAAACAATAAGTCGAAGTAAAGTGTCTGAATATATCTATGTTACTTCTTGTCTTCAAGATGAAATAATTTAAATCTTTGATAACAAGAGTAAGCGTATTAGTTAGAATTAAATAGACAGGATTATGTTCAGAGTCCGAACCGCTGGATTGAAGACTAGGAGATCTTCACATGACTTTGATGTCAAAAACACAATTACTGCATGGTCAAGGATGAACAGAGCTGTAGAAACACTAATATAGAAGAAAATCACTTGCTGAGGCTCCTTAATACACCGGTTTATAGAAAATTCTTATACAATCGTTACAAAATACAATTCATTTGTATTCACAAGTGAAGAAAAACTTACATAGTTGCTTGATTTATTACAGTTGAATTCGATGTGGATAATGGTATATCACAGTTATTATTTCTACAATAATGATTATTCACTTCATCATTAGATAAATTTAACACTGAATTTACAGATTCATTTAAATTTGATAATTTATCTACTAGTAAATTTTGTGAATCTACAGTATTTTTACTGGTTACTGTTGTAGATGTTGTTGTCGCTGTTGAAGAAGACGATAAACCCATTAGTGTTAATTGAGCTAAAGCATTTTGAAATGCTGCAATAGCACATGGTGATGAATTAGAAAGTGTAGAAGACCATGCAGCTAATCTTTCATATGAATTTAAAAGATTATTATTATCTTTTGATGTATATAATGCATCATCGATTGTATTCATAACAGTTCTAGATTGACGACATGTAGTAGGCAATGTTTCATTACATTTATTCCAATCATTATTTAATGTAGATTGAATATGATTTGAAAAATCGTTACTAATATTGTTATTATTATTGATTTGAATGGAATTCAATGAAGAATTGGTCATATTTAATAAATAAAGTGATAAATTTTGTAAATTCAGTGGTAATGATTCAAATGGTAATTTTTGTGAAATTTTATTGTTCATTGAATTCTTTTGATCAGATGTTAACACTTGTTGATTATATTGTCGTGCAGCTAATGTATGTAAAATTTCCACGGCTAAATTATATGAACGTGGTAATGTTGTTGAATTGGCCGTTAACATTGCCGATGATGATGATGATGGTGATGATGATGCAGAGGGTGTAGAAGAATATGGTGATGATGAATCGTTAACATTCTGTTGTGACATGATATGATCATAAAAATTTGAAAGCAATGGGATTGGTATAGAATAAGGGAATAATATATTCATAGGAAAGCAATAACAATATTACTAATTGCTTTCTACGAAATATTTTTTTTCTTTTAAGTGTTTACCGATTGTTAAGTAAATCTTCAAAGAAAACGAAATGTTCTGGTTTCACGAATTCCGATAAAGATACGACTTATTATTATTTTTTGTTATTGTAAGCGTATTACTGATTGTGAAACAAGATATTCGAAAGTTCTTTAAAACAATCCACGAAAGATTGCTAAAAGCAAAGGTCTTCCACGGTTTTTGCTTCTGCAATGTTTAGTATTGTTGCTGCTTTAGAAAACTACGCTTTAAGTGTAGTGATTAATATTAATTTGTAAGAATATGTGTTTTTGGGAATAACATTCCTGTCTGTCCATCGATTGTTAGGTTTTCTGCTTTCTCTCATCCTCCCCTCTTGTTCACCATCTGTTTTTATGCTTACTTTTTATGCACATTTAGTAGGACAGTCACATTATGCACCAAGTGTGTTTTGTACATTTGGTTATTTGTACAGACAGACATTAATGTAAAGACGTGTTAGGCCGATAGACAGCTAGTGATAAACAGACATAAAAATAGACATTTAATCATTATACGAGCCAATGTTTTAAGTAATTCGAATTTCTGTATGTCCGGTATAAACACCCTGGACAAAAGTTATTGTCTCTTTCCTCAATCGATTTATCATCTGTGCATTAAGTGTATTTGACCACCAAGCCTTCAGTTTTTTTTTCACTAAAAATCCTGATTATTAATATATGATTAAACGAACCACTGTGTCACGTTAATTATTTCTCCCCTCTTCTAAAGCGTAGCATGAGAATACACAGAATGAGCATTCACAAAATCGACATTGTCAGAAGTTAAACGTTTGAATTTTTAAAATTGATCATCAAAAGATGGGAAAAAACAGGTGTCGTTTTTACCACCCAAAAGTATGGAAGATCAATAGCCTGATCTCCAGTTTTAACTAATCACTAGGTAGAATAATTGGAATCAATGTAGTGATGTCGTTTTACCCGTATTCATGTTTTTTTCTATAATGTATAGACGTAGTGGTGATAAATCTACATCACTTAGGCAAGTGAAATCAGCTTAACATGTCACAAGATACTTGGAACATTCGTTTTCTGGTTCAAATTCTGTTAAATACTAGATATTTAACATATAAATTTATTACTTGAGTTCATGAGTCGATTGAAGCTAGACCACCATGGAAAACGTGGTAGCACTGGATGGCTGTTTCTTCCTACTGTGGGACTCCTCAGTAGTGAGCATCCACGAAATTACATCGATATGGTCGATCTGTTAACAGTGTAAGAAATATTGTTCATATTCATGTGATTGTCATTACTCTACATTGGACCAAATTCACTTCATTTTTCGTAACAACATAGTTCATTGATACGTTCCCTATTGAAATCAGACACCTTTTTAATGACAAAGATGACTTTTTGAAAACCAATGAAAGAACAATACAGATAATTAATAATAAGACAAAAAACATCAGAACGTATTAAAAATTGTATATTTGTAAATAGTTTTTATGAATTAAAATCATAGAAAATAAGAATTCATTGACAGCCAGATAGCCAGTTTTCACAACACAAATATGTTGAAACAAGTTACACATTTCTAATATTCAGATTAACATCCTACAACATTTAGGATTCCTAACTAAAAATTCAAGTTACCAAGACATCTGACTTTCAAAAAAATGATTTACATTATTTATCCAGTCAATAATTAAAGTACTCACTTACAAATGTGATGGACAAATATTTGTGAAAATTCATATATATTACTTGTTTAGATCTCTTGATTGATGCTTGAGAATGCAATCGATCAGTCTCTTCTTGGCGAATATGAATCCTGTGGCGATTGCCACTAAGTCACAAACATTTTAAACAAAGATGGATGGTGGCTGTCAATGGAATTCAGGACACGCATTTCGTTCTATATACGACTCAGACTCTGGATGTACCTGCATCTCAGAATTGATGTTCATTCTAGAACTCGATCGACTGCAGTCCATAACATCAATGTGAAGATCTAATCAACCAATATGTGTGATTTAAAATTAAAATTCATCTTATTTCACAAGCCAGTGGTTATCTCAACTGAGTAGCTGAGTGGATAAAACGATGGAGTTTGAAGTGAAAAGTGATAGATTCGAATCTCAGAGTAAGCACAAACTCTGGGATTTAGGTAATATTAAGCTTCCTAATCTTAATTAGGACGAGTCCCATACTAAGACGAAACGGCCGTCTAGTGCTTCCAGGTTTTCCATGGTGGTCTAGCTTTAATTGAGTCATGAATTCAAATATAAAATAATGAAATGTTAATTAGAAGGAATTATAAACAGATGAATTAGTAAATTTTCTTATGAATATAATTCCAGAATCCTTCCTATTTACAGACCTGATAAAAAGAATGTAACGCATAATAGACAAAGATGTAAGCGAAGATTATTTGAAACGGCGTGGTTCATAAAGTTTTCCTAAATGACATTCGTCATAAGAAATATCATAATGTGAAGCAGTAATTAGGAAACATTATTTTCTTAGTACGAGAAGTGAGATGTCATGATGTATAATGTGTCGAGGAGCGACTCCGTTGGCGTTTTAGGATAATCGTAATCATTTAAAAGTAGAGTGAAAGAGCAAAGACAGAGAGTACAGAACAACGAAAAATAAAATGATCGGTCCTTCACCGCACGTGTGTTGGATTGTTTTATGACTGAATAATTTGAATAGTTATGATTTCAACACAACAAATTCACCAGCGATAATGTATGAGTAAGCTATCTGCAACATGATCATATTTAATACTTAAGGAAAAATAATAGTAGTATTCAAACATTTTCAAAAATGCACAGATTTCTTAGAATGGCATTTCAAAATGGTTACGTTAAATTGTAAATTCACTGAAGTTGGTAACTTTGACTGAAGGAATCATATATATAGGGGTTCAGGGTTAGGGTGTAATAGTAGTCGCAGACTATTAGCTAAAACCCACGAATTTTCGTAAACTAGTTGTGTTTATATTAACTGTCCTTTTACAGTATTTGAAGTATGTTTTCACAGGAATTCACCTTTATTATGCAGCTTAAGTTGATACATTATATACTTATCAATCATGATACTGTATGGAAGATAAAACTTTCGTAGTCTGACATAATTAACTTGTTACACATGTATTTATATTGTTCATGAAAGCATAAATCAAAATATTTATTTATTGAATAAAACACTTAAAATTTTATCCACAACTCGGTACACTTGTAAGCTATGTTTCAATACCATAGCAGATTAAGTAATTCCTTTTACTTCACATCCTTAATTTTTTTAATTATAAAGCACATCATCATTAATAAATACGTCACACACAAAAAGCAATTTACACAACATATTGACCAAATGTGAGTGTTTTGTAGAAAAAAAGCCTCCTAATTTTCCTCTAATAAGTTGTAGAACTGTCAGTGTTTATTATCAATATTATTATTACTTGTTTTTGTATGTTCGTAAGCTATACTTTCTTAATGAAGCAAATGATGCAGTAATTAGTGTATGATCTATTTTGAAATGAGCACGGTTTTATCTGCATGAATGGATGTGATCATGGATAACGGTAAACACAATAGACTAATGTTTATGTGGTTGTGTCTTCTCGTTTTTGTTGTTAAGGATTGGAGACAATAGGTCGATTGTGACACACATGCATTCTGATAAGATTGATCCTTTACTCTTATATATTCGTGCGTTCTTAATAAAACTGAACAGTGGGTATTATTAGATAATCAAAAGGTACTGGATTTATGTTTCAGTGTAAACATCAACCCTAGAATGTAATTAAATCCTGACTAGTTTCAATTTGAATGAAACGCTCGTCCCTGATTCCTGTGCTCGCTATCATCATCTAACTTTACTAGCGCAAGACTGATTTATAAAATTTATATCATTAGTCATGTTACAAACTTATCGATGGACAATGATAGCTTTTATATAATTTATAAGTGAAAAGATTTTGATGAGATTAATTATTTCAGAACATTCATATCTTAAAGACGATTGGCATTAAATGATATGTAGGTGTATAGTGTAAATATGTGGAGATTGAATATATTCACAAATAAAATCAGACACTTATTTACTTAATTTCAATGACGTTAAAAAAAGAAATCAATAGTAGGAAACATTTTTTTTGTATTCGAACATTTATTTACTTCATGTATTTCTGTTATCTTGTTTATTTATTATTAGCCCTATATTTACATTCACTTATAATCCTCAAACTGACTGTAGAATGTAGAATCATTTTAATTTAATAACAAGTGCATAGATTAATTTATATGAAATGTATTGACAACTTCATTTGTATTAGTTTACTCTATCATTGTTATCAATCGGTTTAAGTATAATTTTTTTTCTTTTTGATCTCTTGCTTACTTTCATTATCAGAACTTTATAGTATGAAATTTTAAACTTTTCACTTCTTATTTAAAAAATGAATAAATGTAAACAGTTATAAAAGAACCTATCAGTTTCTAAGATGTTAAAACATCAATTGATCTTATTGTATGATCATCTGAATTTGAATTCAACTAATGGATCATTTTTTATTTTACTTTACTATTTACATTTTATGATAACTATAATCAACGGTTTATTAAGTTTTATGTCTATAACATTTACTGAACGATCTCTGCTATACAAGTTGTCAATTACTGCGTGAAACTGATGTATGTCTGTTACATATTTAAAGATAACTTGCACGTAAAATTAAATGGATGATTATTTTGGCTCAGGATGTATTTTATTATCGTTAGTGATTTATGAATCTGTAAAAAATTAAAATCTGGATTTTCAGGGCTCATAGACAGAGCATCACCCATGGATCATTAAGTAAGCATCCAGTAATCCATATCATCGATTTTAATTTATTCGTCAACAATACTCGTTTTAATAATAATATGTATTATCAATTTATAATAGAGTTCATCATTTTTAAAATAATACTTAATATAATCTATAAGTTGCATAGATCTTCGTCATGTTACGTTTATGAAATAGAACAGAAATAAGGTATTGTAAACACTTTTCAGGTTACACGTGACGAATATGAAGTATTATTTCGTTATTATTAAGTACATAGAAAAAATAGTCAAAATCATTTTATTATATTTTTTATATATATTTTAAGATATTACTGATTTAGTAAAGAAAAACAAAACCTATGATTCTCACCTATCTCGTTTCGTTTACAATGTTCACAAATAATTATTAAATCGATTGAGACAAAAAAAAGAAATTGTACATTTCTCAACAAAAAATGTATAGATTATGATAAGACATTAAATTATTAAATGTCACATTAATAATGAACTATTTTCATGAAGTTAAATCTTTCAAAA